CACCTTTTCGCCTCCCGGACTAAATGATAAAAGTGACTTTGAGGAGGTCTAATTCTTGTTCAGATAATTATATTTAATAGAACTTCAAGAACCACTTAAACACCATTTCATATAGGTAGTTAATTTCTTTCTTTTTTTTAAAATTAATTGTCGTTATATGTATTGGAATAAAAAATCTTTCGGACTGAAGCCCCCCAAAATTAAATCCTGGATCCGCTAGTGGACCTGAAAGGTCATTTTATCTTTGACCTTAGTTAATTTAATCACTATTTTCTCAAAAAAAATTTGTTTACTTTACGATGGAGTACTTAAAATTTAATCTTGAACAGCTTTTGAGCAATTCTTTCTTATTCAATAAGAAACGTGACCATCTTAAAAAAAGCAAAAAATTGGTCTTAACTTCTTTCCCAATCATCGGCCCATTCATCAAATGATCTCTTTTTTGTTGTAAATTTTTTCTTGAATCACTCCCCTGAATTCGACCATTAAGAAATGAGACACCCTGTATAATACTGCGATCGTGAAAAATAGTCAGGGGTTGATGAATTCAACTTTAACTGTTGAAGAAAACCTTTAACAATAATACGTTAAAAATAAAAGTTATTTCAAAACTGTTAAATAAAACTTATAGCTTAAAAAAAGTTTTTACTTTTTTTATTACACTAGTCGGCTCGTGCGAGAAATTCGCACAATGTATTGTTACTGTGATCAAATGTCAAATTAATAAGAAAACAAAATAAGGCATCGTATCATAAGATAAAGAAATCATTTGTTACTTTGCCGATAAATATAATCGACGAAGGAAACAAAAATATGTTTAAAACTTATAATCCATTAATGTTTGGAACCAAAATGTTTACAAACTTCAGTAAGTAACTTTGCTAACAATTGTTCGATTTCGATGATTTTTTTTCTCTTTTGTAGTGAATTTAGTAATCTTTTGTAGAAGTGTGAAATACAAATCTCAATCTGTTATTCCTCACATAAATATTTGGGCTCTAGTTTCCTCCTTCGGTCAGTACAAATTGTTTTAACGTCGTACTGATACTATAGCTATATGCCAAATATATAGTTATTTTCAAATGAAATGGGCTATAATAGAGCTCTCCTAATGAATATTAATCGAAAATAAGAAAAAATAAATAATAAAACGAAAAAAAAATATTGGAAGAATTTCTAATCGATTTCGATGATTTTTTTTCTCTTTTGTGGGGCATTTAGTAATCTTTTATAGAAGTGTGAAATACAAATCTCAATCTGTTATTCCTTACATAAATATTTGGGCTCTACTTTCCTCCTTCGGTCAGTACAAATTGTTTTAACGTCGTACTGATACTATAGCTATATGCCAAATATATAGTTATTTTCAAATGAAATGGGCTATAATAGAGCTCTCCTAATGAATATTAATCGAAAATAAGAAAAAATAAATAATAAAACGAAAAAAAAATATTGGAAGAATTTCTAATCGATTTCGATGATTTTTTTTCTCTTTTGTGGGGCATTTAGTAATCTTTTATAGAAGTGTGAAATACAAATCTCAATCTGTTATTCCTTACATAAATATTTGGGCTCTACTTTCCTCCTTCGGTCAGTACAAATTGTTTTAACGTCGTACTGATACTATAGCTATATGCCAAATATATAGTTATTTTCAAATGAAATGGGCTATAATAGAGCTCTCCTAATGAATATTAATCGAAAATAAGAAAAAATAAATAATAAAACGAAAAAAAAAATATTGGAAGAATTTCTAATCGATTTCGATGATTTTTTTTCTCTTTTGTGGGGAATTTAGTAATCTTTTATAGAAGTGTGAAATACAAATCTCAATCTGTTATTCCTTACATAAATATTTGGGCTCTACTTTCCTCCTTCGGTCAGTACAAATTGTTTTAACGTCGTACTGATACTATAGCTATATGCCAAATATATAGTTATTTTCAAATGAAATGGGCTATAATAGAGCTCTCCTAATGAATATTAATCGAAAATAAGAAAAAATAAATAATAAAACGAAAAAAAAATATTGGAAGAATTTCTAATCGATTTCGATGATTTTTTTTCTCTTTTGTGGGGAATTTAGTAATCTTTTATAGAAGTGTGAAATACAAATCTCAATCTGTTATTCCTTACATAAATATTTGGGCTCTACTTTCCTCCTTCGGTCAGTACAAATTGTTTTAACGTCGTACTGATACTATAGCTATATGCCAAATATATTGTTATTTTCAAATGAAATGGGCTATAATAGAGCTCTCCTAATGAATATTAATCGAAAATAAGAAAAAATAAATAATAAAACGAAAAAAAAATATTGGAAGAATTTCTAATCGATTTCGATGATTTTTTTTCTCTTTTGTGGGGAATTTAGTAATCTTTTATAGAAGTGTGAAATACAAATCTCAATCTGTTATTCCTTACATAAATATTTGGGCTCTACTTTCCTCCTTCGGTCAGTACAAATTGTTTTAACGTCGTACTGATACTATAGCTATATGCCAAATATATAGTTATTTTCAAATGAAATGGGCTATAATAGAGCTCTCCTAATGAATATTAATCGAAAATAAGAAAAAATAAATAATAAAACGAAAAAAAAAATATTGGAAGAATTTCTAATCGATTTCGATGATTTTTTGTTTTCCTTTTGTAGGGAATTAAGTAATCTTTTATATAATCATGGATGTAACCAAGGAAAAATTGTGTAATTTTTGCAAATAAATTTTGTTTTCTTTCATAACTTGTTTACGTGAATTTTCGGGGTGATTGGACTATTTTGCCCGCCTGGAGGAGCTATCTGGGTCTTGCTGTCCGCATCAAAATCTTCAAAGCCCAATTTGTCCCGTATCGATCCACAGACTAACCACCGTTCCCAGATTGAAGCCTAGCAACATGTTTATATCAACTTTATTTATTTTAGAAAGAAAAACAAAAATGGAGAATACGATTCGCTAACCCCCCGTGAAATTCTGAATCCAACGGTACCCCATTCATGGTATTTGAGCATGACAGGAGCTTATATTTGGTACAAAACCCATTTCAAGCCTTGAAGTAATAATATATGTGGGGATATATAAATGTCATAAAAAAGTATTTGTTAAACTTTTACTAATCCCTTCAAAAAAAAAGTTATAAGTACATAAATTTACAAATTATAGTAGAAGTTCGTAATTATTACACTGCTACTCTAAGCGGAATACTAATACATTCCAATGGTTCTGGAAAATATTTTAATGTTGACTTTGCAGTACATTATACAATGAAAATTTTTATTTGTTAATCAGACTTGTTTTATTAGAAAAGTAAAAGCTTTAATTTTTTTAATTAACGTTATACATACTATCGTGTTCCATACCTTGTAAACCTTTCCTATGTTAAATGCATAGAAAATTCTTATAATGTTTTATATAGCTAGGTACATATACTGATGATTATATTTTCTGTTAATAAAAAAATACCAATTTTTTCATTAAAACCTAATCAAGTAAATGATTTATAAAACATGTTATATAAAAACTTTTATAAAATGAGGTTTGAAAATAAAAGTTAAGAAAATAACTGTTTGGAAATGACATGTATCAATAAAAGTATAAGTTCAACAAAAACTTAAATAAAACTTAAATTTTTACTTTTAATTGTAACAGTTTCAATCGACCACTGAAAATATTGAATCCAAGTTTTCAATGAAAATACACATTTTGAGATTCCCTGAGTCCAAAAAACTTGGGAGGGGGGGAAAGAGAGCGCTAACTTAATAACGGTAATTATTTAGAGGAACCAGGAGCAATAATGCTTTTAGCGACAGAGATATAGTTGACTGTTAAAATCATAAGTATGAAAAATAGGCAGGATAAGCAGTCAATAATGGTGTTTATTAAGTTGGCCGACATTTGAACCCAAGCTGATGCGTCATCATCAGGGCTAAAAATTAAAAAATAGAAAATTACATCAGAAAAAGGATGGAACGGAACCATGAGATGGTTAAGATAACGTTAAGTAAGACTGACATAACAATACACTTAGAAAACGTTTTGTGTAATAAATAAATTTTAAAAAATAAGTATAAAAAAAGTAAAAATAAATTATCTAAATAATTAGTTCAAATAAAACAATTATTTGAATAAGAAGAATGCAAAAAATAACAGACCTAAGCGTAACTGAGGTAATTTTTTGGATTATAAAAAATAATTGGAACACCGTTATTACCACCACAGGTGGATCTACAGGGAGGGGGAGATTTTTGGGCTAAAATTCTCTTTTCCTTCCACCCACCCCCCCAAAAAAAGATAAAATATAACTGTCTTAAGAAAAAAATATTAACAATCATCTCGAAAAGTATTATTGTTTGTGTAATTACATTTAATAGGACTTTAAGAATGACTTAAACATCATTTCACATAGGTAGTCAATTTCTTTCTTTTTCTTCCAAAGTAATTATCGTTATATATATTTAAAAAAAAAACCTTTCAGGCAGAAGTCACCCTCTTCCCAAATTAAATCCTGGAGAGCGTCCGACTTTTTCCGATCCTCCCCATTTAAACAACTGGTGGCAGTATAAGGCTTTCCCATTATTATTTATTGTTAGTTTAACTGTCCAAATATTTCACATACCAATAATTTTTAAAAGATATTTTCATGAGAAATGTTGAGGATCTACTGACACAAGTATATCTAGAATACATATCAACCAATCCTAACTCTTTTTAGTTTTTCTTACCTATATTGGAAATATTTAGTATTGCGATCATTAAAAATATAAAATCCTAGTTTTCAATGGAATCACACTTTTTGAGGTACCCAGAATCCAAAAACATAAGTTTTGCAATATGGTAGTTATATGCCTGGGATGATAAAGGAACTATTTACCTAATATACTTATATGTATATCCATAATATATATCTATTAAATTGTTAATATTGGTAGATTATATATATATATATATATAATTGTTAATATTTTAAAGTAATTGTTAACTATAAAATATTTTGAATTCCAGATCTTCATAAGCCCTGAGGACACGAAGATGGTCCAGGGAGCAAAAGTTGTAGAGAGTGATCCCGATATCGAGCGATGCCGGAGGTAATTATATAAATAATTTATCTTAAATTTACTGATGTAATAATTGACCATGATAAGATTACATACGTATTGCATTAATCATTAATGTTAATAAATTAATTATTTAAATATTGAGTATCTATATGAAAATGTTTCAGCATCTCTGATTCAAATTTTGGGTTTATTTTAATAACACTTCATTCATCAAATTTAAGAAATATAGTATACAAGTGATTATTTACTATGTAAATACATTAAATTTTCACGAAGAAACTTGGTTTTAATTCAGCATGAAGGACTGATGGCATTAATAATTAGCCAGAACAAAGCCAGCTCAGTTCATATAATTAATCAGTCGGTTATTTACCCATCTCTAAAATCAACAAAATACATTTACAATAAACAAAATGTTCATATATTTAACAAGATTAATAGTATGGTATAGAAGTATGCAATAATGCTAATTTAGAGGAAGAATACCACAATATTTGACTGTCTATTTTTATTTTTTATTTTTTTCAAATAAACCTTCCATTCATGAATATTGCTTTGAAAAAAAGTTTTAGAATTTAGTTTTTATTTTTATTTAGTTTTTATTTTTATTTTTTTCATATAAACCTTCCATTCATGAATATTGCTTTGAAAAAAAGTTTTAGAATTTATTTTCAGTATTTACGGCAATAATATTGTTAGTTTAGAAAATAAAGCAGACATTTGAGTGAATTGTTAATTGTTACTAATAAAAAATCATCTAATTGTGGTCTAAATGTTTAGCGAATTAGTTTGCTGCAAAACAAACCCTTTAAACTAATTAGTCCTTCTAATAATTAGTTTAATTATGTATCATTATTCTCATATTATAGGATTATATAATTTGAAAAGTCGTTGTTTTGGCACAATATTGCCCAGGCACTGCCAGGCAGGGTCGAAACGTCGGTATAATAATTAAAAATACTATTTTTTAAAAATTTAGTATTTATTTTACCGCATCCCCACTATTGAATTTTTTTATGCTGTTTTTGGCCAGCTTTGCATTCAATTTATTTTTCACATATCTTTATTCTGAAGAGACTTAATCTCAGAAAAAAATTATTTTTTATTTTACAATCATTGGATTATTCCAGGGCCCACTTGAATGACATCGAGAACATCCCTCTCTTCTTCACCGCTGCTCTTGGTTACTTGTTGACAAATCCTGAACCAACTCTTGCGATAAACCTGATGAGGCTGTATACTGCTGCGCGAATAGCTCATACGTTTGTTTATGCAGTTGTTGTTGTACCTCAACCATCTAGGGTCATAGCTTTTGGAATTGGCTTTGGAATTACAGGTTTCATGGCTGTTTCTACCATATTGAAGTTCTTTAACTGATTAATTTCTTTAATGTATGTTATTGATATCGTATTATTATACTTATGTATTGTCTTTATATGAAATTTAAAAATAAGTTTTGCTTGTTTTACATTGTTGGGCAATGTAAAAGCTAGTAAGTGAATTCTTACAAATAAATTCATTTTTTTTTTAAATATAGTTTTACTGATTTCACAAATACAAAAATATTTTTCAATGAAGTATATTTTTTTTAAAACCTTATTCCAAATCTAGAAAAGCTCGACTCCCAGCAGAGACAAACAAAAAAAAACTTTTTTTCCCTAAGCTTATTTACTCCTTACATCATCTTCACATTTATAAAAGAATTTTTTTATATTTTATAAAATGTTTAAAGTGCATCTGTAAATTTACCTTATTTTTTTGCACATTATTTCTTTTGTAATAACTCATACCTTTGTAATCCAATTAGGTTAATTTTCATAATTTATAAAATATTTTTTTAAAAATTAGTAATGTTTTAATAATTGAATCATCTCCAACATTAATTGTAAGTAAATCACAACTTTGATTATACTATTTCACTCGAATTTATAAAAAAATAATTAATAAATTACATAACAATTATAAGAGTTTTATTTCTTATTTATATTTCTAAAAATTATAATTATGAAAATTATTACATCTGGAGCAGTTTTTAATAACGTTTTTCCAAATAAAGATAAAAACATTCTTTTATATAATAGTAATGCTGTCTAGTGATGAAATATTAAATTCCTAAAACTAGTCTATTAATTGAATTGTCAAATGAATAATTGCCAAATAATTCTATACTTAAGTTTTGGCGACCGGAGGTGGATTGCAAATATGATTTAGTATTGAAGCTAATAATGAGATACTCATAATTATATCTAATAAGAAAAAATAAATGTACTTTAGAGGAAGAAATTCGATATTTAAGCCATGTAAAGCAGTTCTATAAGGGTAAGACCAAACTGATGTCAATGATCAATTCATTTTTTCTTTATATAACAAATGTAATCAAAGTCATTTGAACTGTTTTTGAGGAAATAGCAATAATGTGAAAAATTAATGATATAAAGTGTCACATCTCGTAAGTCAATAAGCTAAAGAGTGCTGGAACAACCCAGGCATGTTCTCGACCTTTTGTACATAATTTCAGTTTCGTTTGACTCTTAGTTTTTTAACTAGGCTCTTCACATACGCAATGATCATTTACGAGACTTGGTTATCTGGACGCAGGAAAACGTAAAACATGTATTCCTGTTAAAAACCTGGGTGCAAAATTTTACATGTTCACAATATTTTTCCTTACTATATTTTACATATATATGTAATTGGAAATAAAATAAACTATTTCCCTTTGATAAGTCTACCATTTGAAAATATATGATCTATCTTAATATTCAAAAGTGTATAAAAGGTAAATGTACCAGTAATAGACACTTTAAAAAAAAAATGTAATATTAATGCGAAACATAACTTTAGTATTTTATCGATTTTGATTTTTCTACTCAGTCAATTAGTTTATTATTCATGAAAAACATAGGATTTTCTGAGTTTATTTTGCACAAGTAATAGACCCAGGTTTGGGGGCCAACAGATTTTTTTATAATTAAAAAATAATAAATTCTCTAGTTTTAAATAACGAAATGGTAAGCTAAAGATGAATGAATCAAAATTTCAAACCTATCTTCTAAAGCAAAGTGATAAGGAAACCTCACTGAAACAAAGAGTGAGCCTTTCTCCATTAAAAACTCAACCACCAATCAGCTGTTGCGGTATGGTACCACTTGAGGTTCGGGCATCTTTCAATCAGCATCTCTTAAGTTTCCAGCTGAAAACCTGCTCACATTTGCAACCTCTTTTCGACGTATAAAGCTTGTTATCTCTTAATTAGTTGAAAACTGTCTATTACTGCTACATTTATCATAGCTAAAAATTTCAGTGGGAAAATTTTATTGTTCTGAAATATCAGAGAAGCGATCAAAAATGATACTTCTAATCATGTTGGAACTATTTAAAAATGAAAGTTCACTTTTCATTTCAAATCCTGCAATACATTACTAAAAACAATTAAATTATTATTTATTCTTGAAAGTTCTCTACAGATTTAAGGAGGCTTTAAATGAGATTTAAAGCTCGTTCCTAATAATAAAAACCTAGCTAGAAGTTGTGATCTTCAACTTCAAATTTAAGTCAAGTCATTTTAAAGATTTTTTTTAAATAATTATTTTTTTTTTTAATTTCTAGCTCAAAACACCGTCAAAAGATGATTTGTTAGTAAAATTGTAATCAATTATTTTTTAAGAAGAGTTTAAATAGTTTCTTGAAAAGAAAGAAAATCAGTATTTAAAATTGATACACCCTTTTGAAAATAATGTTAGTTAATTTATGATAATTTATAGATAATTTATAAAAAAGAATCTTTCAAAACTATAGAATAGACAATTTGAAAATAGATGGAAAAGACAATCATGCAACAACTCTCACGAATATGCTTCAACACAGACACTAAAAGGTAAGGCCAATGATTTACCATAATAGTTATACTGAACAAGTATTCAGGGTTTTCAAAAAGTTAAATTCTTGAGAACAAATAAAAAAATCAAGTTCTTTTAAATTGAAGTTGAAGAAAACGAACGAAGAAAGCAATGGAACACAAATTTGTAACAGCTGATCAAACCAATTTAAATAATAAATCTTTATAGCGTTGTAGATCCAAGATAGAGATACTACATTATACTATCATAGCTCTTGATACTCTTGAGAGAGAACTACAATAAAATTGTAAGGCTGCTCAACTGTGCTGGGTTGCTAATTGGCACAGAATACTAATCCATGATTAGTTTTAATTAATTTCTGAAAATTAAATGATTAATTTTGAAAGACAGTTTTAATATATAAATGCAACCAAGAAATATGTCTATTTAAGTAGAGCACATACAATTCTCTACTACAGAAAACAAAAAAAATAATACTATTATAAGTGGGCAAAACCACAATAAAATGTAAAATCTAGAATCAATGCGATATTACAATGCAGTAGAAATAAGCACTAACAGATTCAAGAGGGCTATTGGTTGAAGCTCCTCCCCCCAATTGAAAAAAAAAATTGTTTACATTGGTTAATATTTATTTTTATAAGTGATCCATGCCAAGTACTTATACGATCATAATATCTTCTATTTTTATATTATAACACACCTATTTCAGCTACAAAATGAAAGTAAAAAATATGAAATTTTTAGAAAATTCAATGTATTTAAGAAAATGTCAAGAAAAAATACAAACATTTTCCTTGAAACCTCTATTGTTTCTGTAATAGCCATCATTAGAAAAGAAAAAGGTTAGCTTCCAAAATTAAAGTCTGAATTCACCATTACAAAGTAGCATTTAGTAAAACTTCTATCCCCTTTATATAAATAATATTAATCATATAATCGCCTCTCAAAAACACTTTAGGAATTAATTTTTTTTATTGTGTGTATTACTTAAATTCATATTCAATATTCAATATAACAATACATCAAATAAACAGCTTGTTTAATTATAGTAATTTTCTAAAGATGCTTATCTTAATATATAATTATTTTGTGCTTTAATGAACAATAATTAAATATGTTCAATGTTGTTTAACTCGAAAAGTAGCAAATAATTATTTATACTTATATAGTAAGAATTATTTTTCTATCATAAATTCTTATCTTTTAGGATAATAAAATAAAAGAAATCTGGTGCACGCATCACACTACTTTCACTTATAGTTACAGTTTAATTAGTTACTTACAGTTTAGTAATGATTAATGGAGCTAAACTTTAAAGCTAAGAATTCATTAATACCATTAAAATAACACAAACTCTATTAATTATATCAACGGTAGAGAATAAAAACCATCTGTTTTTGTAAATCACATACATAACTTCAGTTTTTGAGTGATACATGCCTAGAGAGAGATTTGAAAGTACATCTGTATATTTAACTAATAAATGATTATGGATTATACTACTATCCAGCGGTGCCCAGAAGGGAATTTCATGGCGCAACCTAATCAAACATTTTTCTTTTTTCTCCTTTATTTGATTATCAAATTGTTTCAAACCAAAACAAAAAAAATTGTTTCAAAGGTTATGTTTAGCCTTTTTTAATTTTTATTAACAATGAAAGATAGTTAATGATTTAAAAAAAATCAAATTAAAGGTACTTTAAGGAAGAAATTTCGAACATTTGAATTATTAAAGAAGAACATCGAAATTATTTTAACGGAACAGTTGCTGTCACATCACAGCCATATACCTATCTTAAATAGGTAATTTTAGTTCTGTATGACTTTTTGAGATTGGGTTCTTTGGACCCCGAGGACCTCAAAACATGTATTTCTGTTAAAAACGCAGATCCAAAAATTTTCATGATCGCAATACTTTCCCTTACTATAAATTATATATATTGGTAAGTGAAAATAAAAATTACACGTAAATGTTAAATAAACTTATTAACCTTTCAATATCAATTACAATAAAAAAACTCATTAGCAAAAGAGATAATATTTGTTTCTTTTCGAAACAATAAAAAATAAAACACTAAAAAAATATTATATATACTATAAAATAAAATATTTTTAAAATAAATGTATTTATTACTATGTCAAATCAATATTAATCAATAGTTTAAATTGGTACCTGTTATCCATTAGGTGTCATTGATCCATAGCTGTAAACAAAATAAACAATTCATTACTTAAAAATCTATTTTTCAAATAATCTATATATACTTCATTATTGAATTTTAATTTCTATATTTTCAATAAAATGATTTTTAAAAATAGTTTGAATGATTTCAAAAACATTCTTTGTTTATTAATAGGTTTGTTTTGTGTCCTTAATTATATTTGTTTCTTAGCTTAATTATATTTGAAAATAGCTTCTCAGATAAGAGTAAGGAGAAAACAACAAAAAAAAATACACTTTTTTTCTTAAATTGAAAAATAAATAATGTGGCATGCAACTTACCCATGATTTCC